GAGCACTTAGAGAACAGGGGGAAGAGAGGGGAGGGGATAGAGAGGGGAGGGGATAGAGAGGGGGGGATAGAGAGGGAAGTTAGAGCCGCAGCTCTATAGGAATGGAATGAGGGGCCCCCCGCCCATGTCTTGATCTTACAGGGAGAGCCGAAGGCGCCTGAGTAAGGATAAGGAGTGGATAGAGTGAGAGACATAGCGAGAGGAGAATGAGAGACATAGCGAGAGGAGAATGAGAGACATAGCGAGAGGAGAATGAGAGACATAGCGAGAGGAGAATGAGAGACATAGCGAGAGGAGAATGAGAGACAAAGTGAGATGAGAGAGTGGAGTCAACCGGTAAACACAGGAGAAACAACACAAATAGAGGTGTAACATAGCCAAAAGGGACGATAATTGGATAAAATAAGTGAGAGGAAGAAAGAATTGAGAATAGTAGAAAAGAAGAAGCAAAGAAAAGATATAAAAACATAAATAAATTAAGAAAAAGAGAACCGGGTGAACAGAAATAAACAGTGGAAGTAGAGACGGTAGGAGGTAAATGAAAGAGAGAAGATGAAGATAAAAGAAAGCAGTGATAACAGAAACGAGGAATAAGAGAATGTAGGAACTAGCAGAGAAAATATATATAGAGGTAGAGGGAGAAATTAAGAGAAGGAATATCATGAAGGAACATTTATAATAAACATCAAAGAATAGAAAGTAGATAAACTGTCATCAATAAAAAGATAGAGATAATTGGCAACTATGATGGGAGAGTGAACAGGCGAGTGAGAGTGAACATACGAGAGTGTGGGAGAGTGAATACGTGAGGTAGAATGTACTCATTAGGTCACCTTGAGGTGCTTCCGGGGTTCAGCGTCCCCGCGGCCCGGTCGGCGAGTCGAGTGACTAATTACAGAACATCGTAATATGACAACGAAGAGTCATACAGGAGCCACTACGGGGTCACCATAGCCCGTGCTACTTGGGAACTTTTTGTTCCCAGTAGCTGGATCTAAAACAACAATAACAACAACACAGAACTCATTAAGTCACTACTCGAACGATCTACCTCACACACACACACACACACACACACACACACACACACACACACACACACACACACACACACACACACACACACACACACACACACACATGAGCCACAGAGACGTTAGAAAGAACTTTTTCAGTGTCAGAGTAGTTAGTAAATGGAATGCACTAGGAAGTGATGTGGTGGAGGCAGATTCCATAAACAGTTTCAAGTGTAGATATGATAGAGCCCAATAGGCTCAGGAATCTGTACACCTGTTGATAGACGGTTGAGAGGCGGGACCAAAGAGCCAGAGCTCAACCCCCGCAAGCACAATTAGGTGAGTTAGGTGAGTACACACACACACACACACACACACACACACACACACACACACACACACACACACACACACACACACACACACACACACACACACACACACACACACACACACACACACACACATTTCAACCTCTCCAGTCCTGGTTCCTCGGTTATCCCTCACATAATTAAGGTAAACTTTAAACTCCTCACTATCTAGCACTCCAACTGTTCAACACTATAACATCCGGTCACTATAACTCCCTGTGACTGAACACTGGCTTCTCGTAACCAACAGTTGTGCTATCATGAGGTAGTTACACTTGATATCTTTCCGTTTCACTCATCACAGCACAAACGTCAAAATCCATATTAAACGTTTCCATACTCTGACCCCAAGAGGTTAAGGGTTCAGAAGGTCTTGGTTCACGACACCCGACACAGGTTGTGCTCGTCAGGGGCCAGATTCACGAAGCAGATACGCAAGCACTTACGAGCCTGTACATCTTTTCTCAATCTTTGGCGGTTTTGTTTACAATTATTAAACAGTTAATGAGCTCCGAAGCACCAGGAGGCTGTTTATAACAATAACAACAGTTGATTGGCAAGTTTTCATGCTTGTAAACTGTTTAATAAATGTAACCAAAGTCGTCAAAGATTGATAAAAGATGTACACGTTCGTAAGTACTTCCGAAGCTGCTTCGTGAATCTGACCCCAGGGCTGAAGCCGACCTCATAGATGAATACATCTTAACGTACTGTGCTGTCAAAATCAGTATTATCTCATAAACATTTTAAAATATTTTATATTGGAATTTCGTGTATAGTTTGGCGTTTAGGATTTGGTGGTATTTATTGGCATTTCAACCCATCCTCAGACCAGGCTCGTTAAAGCTTCGGCCCTTCCCCTAGACGCATTGAATTATTTTAACCTATTGTGTACTAAATATAGGTTTAGTCTCATATTAATACTGTTATATATACATTTTCTATGTATAGTTAATCGTAGGTTAGGTTAGATGCTTAGGTTCTCTTAACTAGAATTTGTGTTTTAATTACGTGGGTGAAGCATTTACAGCGTTGTGGTTCGAACAGAGGTCGTCAGCGAAGCACTGTTCGAATATCATCAGTTGTAAGTCGTTATTAAAAACAGTTTTTCGTTCATAAACAGTAGTTTGGCGGCTGGAGTAACGACCATTAGGCCCTTGTTTATAAGGACGGATATATATATATATATATATATATATATATATATATATATATAACTGAAAACTCACACCCCAGAAGTGACTCGAACCCATACTCCCAGAAGCAACGCAACTGGTATGTACAAGACGCCTTAATCCACTTGACCATCACGACCGGACAAAATGAGGTGATAGCCGAGGCTATTTGAACCACCCCACCGCCGGCACTCGGATAGTAATCTTGGGCATAGCATTTTACCAAATCACCTCATTCTTTGGGGCACACGTGAGGAACACAAATGCGAACAAGCCTGAATGGTCCCCAGGACAATATGCAACTGAAAACTCACACCCCAGAAGTGACTCGAACCCATACTCCCAGAAGCAACGCAACTGGTATGTACAAGACGCCTTAATCCACTTGACCATCACGACCGGACAAAATGAGGTGATAGCCGAGGCTATTTGAACCACCCCACCGCCGGCACTCGGATAGTAATCTTGGGCATAGCATTTTACCAAATCACCTCATTCTTTGGGGCACACGTGAGGAACACAAATGCGAACAAGCCTGAATGGTCCCCAGGACAATATGCAACTGAAAACTCACACCCCAGAAGTGACTCGAACCCATACTCCCAGAAGCAACGCAACTGGTATGTACAAGACGCCTTAATCCACTTGACCATCACGACCGGACAAAATGAGGTGATAGCCGAGGCTATTTGAACCACCCCACCGCCGGCACTCGGATAGTAATCTTGGGCATAGCATTTTACCAAATCACCTCATTCTTTGGGGCACACGTGAGGAACACAAATGCGAACAAGCCTGAATGGTCCCCAGGACAATATGCAACTGAAAACTCACACCCCAGAAGTGACTCGAACCCATACTCCCAGAAGCAACGCAACTGGTATGTACAAGACGCCTTAATCCACTTGACCATCACGACCGGACAAAATGAGGTGATAGCCGAGGCTATTTGAACCACCCCACCGCCGGCACTCAAGTGGATTAAGGCGCCGCCGTGATGGTCAAGTGGATTAAGGCGTCTTGTACATACCAGTTGCGTTGCTTCTGGGAGTATGGGTTCGAGTCACTTCTGGGGTGTGAGTTTTCAGTTGCATATTGTCTTGGGGACCATTCAGGCTTGTTCGCATTTGTGTTCCTCACGTGTGCCCCAAAGAATGAGGTGATTTGGTAAAATGCTATGCCCAAGATTACTATCCGAGTGCCGGCGGTGGGGTGGTTCAAATAGCCTCGGCTATCACCTCATTTTGTCCGGTCGTGATGGTCAAGTGGATTAAGGCGTCTTGTACATACCAGTTGCGTTGCTTCTGGGAGTATGGGTTCGAGTCACTTCTGGGGTGTGAGTTTTCAGTTGCATATTGTCCTGGGGACCATTCAGGCTTGTTCGCATATATATATATATATATATATATATATATATATATATATATATATATATATATATATATATATATATATATATATATATATATATATATGGAAGGGATACACTCTCTTTTTCTTTCCTCCTCCCCTCTCTCTCTCTCCCACCATCATTTCCTCCGTTCCCTTCCTTCTTCCCTCCCTCTCTCTCTCCCACCTTCCCTCCCTCCCACCCTCCTTCCCAGTATGCTTATCACAGAATATTCATATACTCGTCAAGGGTTCGATGGCAGGTGTTTACTAAGCTATTATTTATAGTCACGAAACCTGGACATAACCTGGAGCAGTGAGTCCCTCTCTCTCTAGGTAGACCCTTCCTCTTCACGGACCTTCCTTTTTGGTAGACCCTCCTTGTAGGTAGACCGTGTCATAGGAGGGTCGGGGTCGGCCCCACGTCACGTCGTCTTGGTGGCCGGGTCAATGAGTCCCCCAACACCTAAATAGCGAATCCTTTCCTGGGCCCCGGATTCATGAAGCAGTTACGCGAGTACTTACGAACGTGTACGTCTTTCTTCAATCTTTGACGGCTTTGGTTATATTTATTAAACAGTTTACAAGCATGAAAACTTGCCAATCAACTGTTGTTATTGTTATAAACAGCCTCCTGGTGCTTCGGAGCTCATTAAAACTGTTTAATAATTGTAAATAAAGCCGCCAAAGATTGAGGAAAGATGTACAGATTCGTAAGTGCTTGCGTAACTGCTTCGTGAATCTGGCCCCTGGTACCACGTGTGATTGTATTATAAAAATAATGAAACTTGCCTCAATAAATGATAAATCACTAAAGAAACACATAAATATAAGTAATTATCAGCTGTTTAACATGTAATAAAATATGGTAAATTACCTACAAATTGAGAAACAAAACAGACAATTTTGTTTTTAAATTATACCTCACTGAAGCAAACAGTACAAGAATAGAACATGTAATTACCCATTACCTCATACAGACTTAACGACACGCTGTAATTACTGAAGGTGTGACACAAGGCTGAGACATACATAGTGGTAATTTATTAATGTATGAGAATGATAGTGTCAACGACTTCCAGTACGTGTCCACCACGTGTCAACGACCTCCAGCACGTGTCAACGACCTCCAGCACGTGTCAACGACCTCCAGCACGTGTCCAGCACGTGTCCGGCACGTGTCAACGACCTCCAGCACGTGTCAACGACCTCCAGCACGTGTCAACGACCTCCAGAACGTGTCAACGACCTCCAGCACGTGTCAACGACCTCCAGCACGTGTCCAGTACGTGTCAACGACCTCCAGCACGTGTCAACGACCTCCAGCACGTGTCAACGACCTCCAGCACGTGTCCAGCACGTCTCCGGCACGTGCCAACGACCTCCAGCACGTGTCAACGACCTCCAGCACGTGTCAACGACTTCCAGAACGTGTCAACGACCTCCAGCACGTGTCAACGACCTCCAGCACGTGTCCAGCACGTGTCAACGACCTCCAGCACGTGTCAACGACCTCCAGCACGTGTCAACGACCTCCAGCACGTGTCCAGCACGTGTCCGGCACGTGTCAACGACCTCCAGCACGTGTCAACGACCTCCAGCACATGTCAACGACCTCCAGCACGTGTCCAGCACGTGTCAACGACGTCCAACACGTGACAACGACGTGTCCCATAGTGCTCAAACCACGTAAAGTGCACACCACAATAGCCAGCTGGCTCTCCATGTCTTCGTCTTTCACGCCTCAGAGCCATTGTTTCCAAGTACGTTTGGCGATGATTGAAGATTGCCTGTGTTAGTAGCAGTGATACCTGGGTGATACCTGCTGGATGGGGTTCTGGGAGTTCTTCTACTCCCCAAGCCCGGCCCGAGGCCAGGCTTGACTTGTGAGAGTTTGGTCCACCAGGCTGTTGCTTGGAGCCGCGTCCACGGTTGTTCCGGCAAAGGGTGCAGACTGTGGGTTTGTGTCTGCCAGTAGTGGAGGAGCCTTATGTGTCCTCTGGTGGAGTCTCTATATGCCTGATGTTTTTAATCATTTTTATTTTGATTCTTGATTCACATACACTCACACCAGTCATGGTTGAGAGGCGGGACCAAAGAGCGAGAGCTCAACCCCCACAAACACATCTAGGTGAATATAACTAGGTAAATTACATACACACCTGTGAGTGTTTACGCCTATGTAATATTATTCAGCAGTGTCTGCGACCATTGGTCATTTACAACCATTTTTTTTTTATTATTATTTTCTACCACAGACGTGGCCACACATTTACAATGCTAAGCAACATATATACATTTTCTTCTGTCCTCCATGGACAGGGTTAGAGAAGTGTTAAACATATAGTTCAAGGGTTTATTGAACACTCAACCACAGAAGGTGATTCGGTGCTTTTAAAATGCTAAGCTAACCTACATACGTAAATACATAGATTAAATGGTCCGGCGTGACCTCTGGCTGACCCCAGGGTTGTCGCTGATATTTACAGGTAATTAGTGTATGGTCTCCACTACGTCCTCCCATCGTGGGCGTCGGTGGTGGGTGATGAGTATGAACACAGACGGTGGGTGAAGTTGGTGGTTGAAGATGATTGGTGATGATTATGGGTGAATAATATATGGTGGGTGAAGGTGGCGGGGTGAGAGAGGTGGATGAGGGAGGCGGGTGACAGTTGTGAGAGAAGGAGCCAGCTGTGGCAGGTTTCGCTAGATAACGACCAACTGGACCACGCAAGATGAACCACAAGTGCAAATAAATGAGAAGGACTGGCCATCTTTCTCCCTTCCTACGCTTCTTCCTCTCCGTCCCCTCCTCTCTCATCTCCTCTCCCTGTCCCTCCTCACCTCTCCCTGCCCCTCCTCACCTCTCCCTGCCCCTCCGCTCCTCTCCCCGCCCCCTCCAGAGATCGTAAAGGACATAAGGATCACGCGATTGAGGCATAAAAATGGCAAAATAGCCACACTGAGGCGGCCAGTAACGTCGCCTCTCCTGCCTGCCTTCCTCGCCAACCTTTAAAGACGAACAACTACACAGGAATTTCTTTCGACACGGACTTTAGAGCACTCGGCGGAAATTCGTCAAGAGCCCCAAGTCTGGCCCCAAGAAGATGGAAGAGGAAGGTCTTAATAGAAGTTTGTGGCTTCTGGAGACAGTACAAATACCAAGGAACCATGAAAGAGTGCCTCTGGGGAGAGGAACACAGTGTACGGATCTGAGAGCCCTGCGCGGATACGAACCCACGAGGAAGCAGCGTCACCCATCTGAAGAAGTCAGACTTCGAAGTGGTGCACCGCCAGAAGATGTCTCTGGGCATACGCAGAACAGCGGACAGCTGCAGAAAGTGACTGCAGTACACTGAGAGGCAGAAAGGTTTTAATATAGTGGCAAAAGAAGTTCATGGTTGGTATTGCAGTGTCACCCAGGACCTGCAGATCGACAGCTAGTGTCCAGGACCTATAGAACGACAGCTAGTGTCCAGGACCTCCAAATCGACAGCTAGTGTCCAGGACCTATAGAACGACAGCTAGTGTCCAGGACCTCCAAATCGACAGCTAGTGTCCAGGACCTCCAGATCGACAGCTAGTGTCCAGGACCTCCAAATCGACAGCTAGTGTCCAGGACCTCCAGATCGACAACTAGTGTCCAAGACCTCCAAATCGACAGCTAGTGTCCAGGACCTCCAGATCGACAGCTAGTGTCCAGGACCTCCAAATCGACAGCTAGTGTCCAGGACCTCCAGATCGACAGTTAGTGTCCAGGACCTCCAAATCGACAGTTAGTGTCCAGGACTTCCAGATCGACAGCTAGTGTCCAAGACCTCCAGATCGACAGCTAGTGTCCAGGACCTGCAGATCGACAGCTAGTGTCCAGGACCTATAGAACGACAGCTAGTGTCCAGGACCTCCAAATCGACAGCTAGTGTCCAGGACCTCCAGATCGACAGCTAGTGTCCAGGACCTTCAAATCGACAGCTAGTGTCCAGGACCTCCAAATCGACAGCTAGTGTCCAGGACCTCCAGATCGACAACTAGTGTCCAGGACCTCCAGATCGACAGCTAGTGTCCAGGACCTCCAGATCGACAGCTAGTGTCCAGGACCTCCAGATCGACAGCTAGTGTCCAGGACCTCCAGATCGACAGCTAGTGTCCAGGACCTCCAGAACGACAGCTAGTGTCCAAGACCTCCACAACGACAGCTAGTGTCCAGGACCTCCAGATCGACAACTAGTGTCCAGGACCTCCAGATCGACAACTAGTGTCCAGGACCTCCGGATCGACAGCTAGTGTCCAGGACCTCCAGATCGACAACTAGTGTCCAGGACCTCCACAACGACAGCTAGTGTCCAGGACCTCCAGAACGACAGCTAGTGTCCAAGACCTCCACAACGACAGCTAGTGTCCAGGACCTCCAGATCGACAGCTAGTGTCCAGGACCTCCAGATCGACAACTAGTGTCCAGGACCTCTAGATCGACAGCTAGTGTCCAGGACCTCCAAATCGACAGCTAGTGTCCAGGACCTCCAGATCGACAGCTAGTGTCCAGGACCTCCAGATCGACAACTAGTGTCCAGGACCTCTAGATCGACAGCTAGTGTCCAGGACCTCCAAATCGACAGCTAGTGTCCAGGACCTTCAGATCGACAACTAGTGTCCAGGACCTCCAGATCGACAGCTAGTGTCCAGGACCTTCAGATCGACAACTAGTGTCCAGGACCTCCAGATCGACAACTAGTGTCCAGGACCTCCAGATCGACAGCTAGTGTCCAGGACCTCCAGATCGACAACTAGTGTCCAGGACCTCCAGATCGACAGCTAGTGTCCAGGACCTCCAGATCGACAACTAGTGTCCAGGACCTCCAGATCGACAGCTAGTGTCCAGGGCCTCCAGAACGACAGCTAGTGTCCAAGACCTCCACAACGACAGCTAGTGTCCAGGACCTCCAGATCGACAGCTAGTGTCCAGGACCTCCAGATCGACAACTAGTGTCCAGGACCTCTAGATCGACAGCTAGTGTCCAGGACCTCCAAATCGACAGCTAGTGTCCAGGACCTCCAGATCGACAGCTAGTGTCCAGGACCTCCAGATCGACAACTAGTGTCCAGGACCTCTAGATCGACAGCTAGTGTCCAGGACCTCCAAATCGACAGCTAGTGTCCAGGACCTCCAGAACGACAGCTAGTGTCCAGGACCTTCAGATCGACAGCTAGTGTCCAGGACCTCCAGAACGACAGCTAGTGTCCAGGACCTCCAGATCGACAGCTAGTGTCCAGGACCTCCACAACGACAGCTAGTGTCCAGGACCTCCAGATCGACAGCTAGTGTCCAGGACCTCCAGATCGACAACTAGTGTCCAGGACCTCTAGATCGACAGCTAGTGTCCAGGACCTCCAAATCGACAGCTAGTGTCCAGGACCTCCAGATCGACAGCTAGTGTCCAGGACCTCCAGATCGACAACTAGTGTCCAGGACCTCTAGATCGACAGCTAGTGTCCAGGACCTCCAAATCGACAGCTAGTGTCCAGGACCTTCAGATCGACAACTAGTGTCCAGGACCTCCAGATCGACAGCTAGTGTCCAGGACCTTCAGATCGACAACTAGTGTCCAGGACCTCCAGATCGACAACTAGTGTCCAGGACCTCCAGATCGACAGCTAGTGTCCAGGACCTCCAGATCGACAGCTAGTGTCCAGGACCTCCAGATCGACAGCTAGTGTCCAGGACCTCCAGATCGACAACTAGAGTAGTGTCCAACAAGCATAGCTCCCTCTATACACTTTTACTACACGAAGCATGACACATAAGTTAAGACACGGGAGACACAGGCAGTGACACACGACACATGGGCGATGACACGTAGCTTTCCTCTGGCCAGCCAAGTAAAGAGGTTGACGCCCAAGGAGAGGGATTGGAGGGGGAGCTTCACTGTACTAACCAGCAGTGTTTGAAGGTAATTGTGGGGAGGGGGAGGTCATCCACCAATGTGGCCAGGTGTGCAGGAGTCATCCATCAACGCGGGCAGGTCTGAGGGAGTCATCCATCAAGATAGGCAGGTGTGAAATAGTCATCCATGTTAATGACACGTCCACCTGAGGACCGATGATGGAAAATATAGAATGCATGAAAGAGAATGATGGAAGGGGTGGAGGAGGGAGTACGTAGGAAGGGGTGAGAAGGGATGAGAGAGGGTGAAGGAGGAGGAGGAGGGGGGAGAGTCAGGGGTCACACTCTGCTCTCACATCACCTGAGGGAGAGTAACGACGGTGTCGGGAACCGCCAGCTCCTCCCACAGCTCTCCCAGCTGGGAGGGGGCGAGGCTGCGACATGAGAGAGAGAGAGAGAGAGAGAGAGAGAGAGTGTGTGTGTGTGTATACGTACTCATCTAGACGTTTTCTGTATATTTTTTTATATTTTTAACCAGACCACACACTAGAAAGTGAAGGGACGACGACGTTTCGATCCGTCCTGGACCATTCTCAAGTCGATTGCGACTATTAGTCTCACAATCGACTTGAGAATGGTCCAGGACGGACCGAAACGTCGTCGTCCCTTTACTTTCTAGTGTGTGGTCTGGCCAACATATTTCAGCCACGTTATTGTGACTCCTCGTCTGTGTTTTCTGTATAATTTAAGCCTGGATCTTAAGCTATCTCAAGCCAGCTACATCAACCGGTTTAGTATTCACCACTGACCGTCATGTGCTTGCAAGGTTGAGCGTCAGCTCCGAGGCTCCTTTCTAGAGTGTGTTTATATGTAAGTAACTACACTCCTCCCTTCCTCCCAACCCCACACCCCAACACT